GTGACCTCGGGGCCGCGCCCAGAATCGCGTGCGGGGCGGCGGCGGAGACGGCGCTGGAAACGACCCCAAGCGAGCAAACCGGGGAGAGGGTACCGCGGCCCTGACGGTTGCGACCCCGTCGGTCCTGAGCGCCACGGAACCAGTCTGCCCCCTAAGGGCCGCGGGCGTCAGGGACGGGGTTGCGCGTGAGCGGCCGTTGGTAGGAGCCCAAAGCTGCTGAGCAGATGTCGCCGGAGGGTCCGCTTTGCCCGCTCGATTCCCGGCACGCGAACAGGAAGGCACCAGGCCCCGGGGGCTCAGGGAGCCGTCGCGCCGCGTGCTGTAAGCGCTGTTCGGAGGGGCCCAGATGAGGGCCTGTTAATTCTGCCTGGATGGGAACCAGGGATCTCCAAAGAGAATTCAACGGTGGTAGGAGGATGAGAAAGGTATTTGGGGAGAGGGGTAGGGAGAGTGGGAGCCGAATATTGAAATAAAATCCTGCATATGGAGTTTTGGGAGGCTTTTGACTGTTCTTACTATCTAGAGCTCGTAGCCCAGGCCCAGTTTCAGATGGCCAACATGTTTTGTTTGGCTTGTGTTCTCACTATATACTTTACTTAATTGCCTGTACTTAAAATCAATACATAGGCCAGGTGTAGTGGTCCATACTTGCAGTCCTAGGACTCTGGGAAGCTGAAGCAGGAGGATCGCAAGTTTGAGGCCATCTGAGGCAGTTTAGTGACTTAGTGAAACCCTGTCTCAAAATAAAAATACAAAAGTACTGGAGCTGTAACTCAGTGTGAAAGCCCTAGGTTCAGCTCCCAAAACCGAAAAAAATAAAGAATCAGCAGATGACGCAGGATTGTTTGGACTTCTGACTTTTCTTGGAATGTTGAAAGAACTGGCAATGTAGGTCCTGCATGCTGGACAAGCTTCTGTGACCTTCAGATAAGTCTGGTTCATCTGCTTGGGGCATGACTGGCCTGGATGAGGTGAGTACATTGTCACCTCTACTCTGGGAAGCAAGGTGTTGCCTCAGGGATGGCTGGAGGACAGGCAGGAGCGGGCCGGCCACAGTGCTCTTGTGAGGGGTGCACAGCGCCTTTGTCCTGTAGAAGGGAGGACCAGGTGTAGAGGCAGGTGGGAAACGGGAGCTCTTTTGTCAAGAGAATTGGGAGGGCTGGGCGACTTTGACCCTATTTGTGGAAAAGCTGAAGAAGGAGTTTTGGAGAATACTTTTAATTTATTGAGTTTGAGGTGCCTGTAGATACCCAAGTGGAGGTGTATAATAGGTCTCTCGGTTGGTAGAGCCGAAGTTTAGAAGAAACGATTAGACTTAGCCCGGTGTGGTGGTGCACACCGATAAGCCCGGCACTCATGAGGCAGAGACAGGAGGATCGCTGTGAGTTTGAGGCCAGCCTGGACTACACAGACCCTATGTGAAAATGATGATAATAATAATAATAACAACAACAATAATAATACAAGTAATTGGACTAAAAATACAGTTTAGCATTTGAGCTCCTCTCAATAATAGATTAACTGTGGAGCTGTAGACCACTACAAATAACGGATTTCTTTTTTCTTAGTGTTAGGGTTTGACCCAAATGGTTTGTGCATGTGTAACTATCAGTGAGCTGCATCCCTAGCCCAGATGGAAAAAAAAATTATTTACTTATTTATTGTATGGGAGGTTGAACTGAAGGAGGACTGACCTATATCCTTGGCCCTTTCTAAAATTTTATTTTGAAGCCAGGCGTGGTGGCACATGCTTGTAATCCCAGCACTCGGAAGATTACATTGCAGGATTGCCACTAGGTGGAGGCCAGCATGGGCTCCATGGTAAGGTTCAAGGCCACCCTGGATTACGTAGTGGCACATGGTTGGCCTTGAACTCTCAGCAGTCTTCCTGCCTCAGCCTCCCAAGTGCTGGGATTACAGGTATGTGCTGAAACACCCGGGAAAATAGATAAAACTCTTCAAATCATAGGCAAAGACTTTTTTTAACAGAACCTCAGTTGCACAGGAAATAGTACTGAGACTCAACAAATGGAATCATATCAAATTAAAAAGCTTCTGCACGGGCTGGGGATTTAGCTCAGTGATTCTGCTGCCTGCTTTGTAAGTGCAAGGACCCCAGTTCAATCCCCAGTACCAAAAGAAAAAAAAAAGCTTCTGCACAGCCAAAGAAACAACTAGTAGAGTGAAGAGAACCCATGGAACCCAGCCTACATGCCCATTAACAGAAGACTGAGTAAAGAAAATATGGTATTAACACACAATGGAGGGCTGGGGATTTAGCTGGCTAGAGCCAGCTCTTCACTGCCTGGTTTGCAAGCACAAGCGATCCCCAGTACCAAAACAACAACAACAACAACAACAACAAGATGCCAAAAAAACCCAAAAACCACACAGTGGAGCCAGGTGGTGGTGCACGCTTACAATCCCAGGACTTGGTATATGTGCTGCCGAAGAGCACGCATAATCCCAGCACTTGGGAGGCTGAGGTGGGAGGATCACAGTGCGAGAGGCTGTGTGGGCTACATGGTGAACTCAAGGCCAGCGGACATCACAAAGCAAAAAACCAAGAACACTGTATAAACTCCAAACCACAGTGGAGTACTGCTTTGCCATAATGAAGGGTAAACTTGAGTCATTTGTAGGAAAATGAGTGTATCTCAAAAATATGTTAAAGTAAGACACACAAGTTTAATATTAATCGTACGGGTTCTCATATAGAAACCCAGATTATAAAGAGCAACATAAAAGATAGATGATAGGAAGTACAGTACCCTTCTCAGAAGGTAGGGGACCAGGAGATGGGGGAGGAGGAAGGGGATGGGAAGGGAGAGGAAAACGGAAGTGAGAAGTGGGAATGTTGTGCCAGCCCCGTGTGAGAAGTGTGAACATCACGTACTCCAGATGTGTGCTGATGAAAATAGTGACAGAGGCATGTAGTTCATGGCTAGAGTGCTTGCCCGTTAAGTGCAAGGCTCTGATTTTCTTTTTCTTTGTGCCTGGGGATTGAACTTGGACCCTTGCTTTGGTGAGGTAGGTGGCAGAACCACTGAGCCAAATCCTGGCCCAAGGCCCTAATTTCAATTCCCAGGTAAATTAAAAAAAAAAAAAGTTAGAAAAACTGATCATGCAGTGAAGACTGAGAAAGAACAGGGAAGGGCAGGAAACGTGAGTTTACCCTGGGGTCATTTGCAGGTGGCGGAAAATAGGCCGCATAGGGCTGGCGAGGCAGCGATGAACTCCAGCCCTCACTCCCCAAGATCAGCGCTGCGACAGCTCACTTCCTTGGCTGGGTGCTGCTCTCCAGAGTCTGGTGGATCCCTGCAGGTCAAGGCCAGACGTCTGCACAGCCGGCCCTGTTCAAAAAGCAAAACAGAGGGAGGGGGAGAAGGATAAACCTGGAATAAATAAAAATGTGGGGCCAGATCAACAGCACAGCACCTGCCTGGCAAGTGTGAGGTCCTGAGTTCAATCCCAGGTAAAAAAAAGAAAAAAATCTGGTCCCTAGATACTTATTTGTTTTTATTTTGTCTTTTTTGAAACAGCATCTCACTATGTAGTTCAGCCTGACAGTGAACTCACTATGTAGCCCAGGCTGGCTTCAAATTCACAGCGATCCTCCTGCCTCAGCCTCCCTGCTGGGATTATAGGCATGCATCACTCCACAGGTTAGTCCCTAGATATTTAAAAACAGAAGGTAAGAGCCAGGTGTGGTGGCGCACACCTGTAATCCCAGCACTCGGGAGGCTGAGGCAGGAGGATCGCTGTGAGTCTGAGACCAGCCTGGGCTACCTAGTGACACCCTGTCTCCAACAACAACAACAACAGAAAAGGCGAGAACCAATAGGTGGG